TCTCCAACATCGCTCTCTCAAGTTGGGCGACTTCCACGCGAATTTCGCCCTTCAATTCGTCCAGAGTTCGGGGCTTGTTCGCGTATACTCTAGCCTCGAGGTGTCCCCATAAGAAAAAATCGCATTTGGATAAATCTGGGGACCAAGAAGGTCAATGAACATCGCCAAACCTGGAAATGAGGCGACCAGGGAAGAGAGGGCGAATAACGTCCATGGATGCTCGGGCTGTGTAGACGGTCGCCCCATCCTGCTGGAACCACACACGTCGGATTGGAACACGTCGCCGTCGTAATTCATGGACAAAGAAGTTGGTGATCATCTCGACGTAGCGCTCTGAGTTCACGGTAACATCACGACCATTACCGTCTTCGAAGAGGTAAGGGCCAATGATGCAAGTTTGCGATACAGCGCACCAAACCGTTACTTTTGGGCTGTGCAGCCCAATAACGACAATTCTGCTGGTTAACCATGCTGTTTAGGTGAAAGTGGCCTTCGTCACTCATAGGCGAAAACGCGGTGCTTCACCAAGGCTCCATAACGACAACTGGTAAAATAATGCTAAGATCTCACGAGTCAAACGGCACCCTCCCCAACTCTCTCGTAGTCGGAGGCGGAGAGTACTACCCATCCCAAAAACGTCCGTCCTCTGCCGCACTCTGTATAAGAGGAAATTAATAAAAAAACAATATTTAATCCTATATATTCTTACTAACTTTTGTCTATGTATAATTAGCAGAAACAAAAATAATAATTTTAATATAAAGATGTGGTTTAAAAGCCGTTGCAATATTTTTCATTTTACCACCAGGGTAAACTCGATTAAAAGGACTAACTAACAACTTCCATCTAAAAAGTAAATAGCACAGAACAACATAGAATTCACTTTTTTAGTTTTACTTTTCGTTCTAGCTCTTTTTCGGTAAAAAATCTGTAAATATCTGGAATATTGTTTCGGTAAATACAGTTTGATTTCGGTAGAAATACCAAAAAGTCGGTATGTTCGGCAACACTGCTCAGTAGTTCAAAAAACCAATATTTAATCCTATATGTTCTTACTAACTTTTGTTTATGTATAACTAGCAGAAACAAAAATAATAATTTTAATATAAAGATGTGGTTTAAAAACCGTTGCAATATTTTTCATTTTACCACCAGGATAAACTCGATTAAAAGGACTAACTAACAACTTCCAGCTAAAAAGTAAACAGCACAGAACAACATAGAATTCACTTTTTTAGTTTTAATTTTCGTTCCAGCTCTTTTTCGGTAAAAAATCTGTAAATATCTGGAATATTTCGGTAAATACAGTTTGATTTCGGTAGAAATACCAAAAAGTCGGTATGTTCGGCAACACTGCTCAGTAGTTCAAACAAACAATATTTAATCCTATATGTTCTTACTAACTTTTGTTTATGTATAATTAGCAGAAACAAAAATAATAATTTTAATATAAAGATGTGGTTTAAAAGCCGTTGCAATATTTTTCATTTTACCACCAGGGTAAACTCGATTAAAAGGATTAACTAACAACTTCCATCTAAAAAGTAAATAGCACAGAACAACATAGAATTCACTTTTTTAGTTTTACTTTTCGTTCTAGCTCTTTTTCGGTAAAAAATCTGTAAATATCTGGAATATTTCGGTAAATACAGTTTGATTTCGGTAGAAATACCAAGAGGTCGGTATGTTCGGCAACACTGCTCAGTAGTTCAAAAAAACAATATTTAATCCTATATATTCTTACGAACTTTTGTTTATGTATAACTAGCAGAAACAAAAATAATAATTTTAATATAAAGATGTGGTTTAAAAGCCGTTGCAATATTTTTCATTTTACCACCAGGATAAACTCGATTAAAAGGACTAACTAACAACTTCCAGCTAAAAAGTAAACAGCACAGAACAACATAGAATTCACTTTTTTAGTTTTAATTTTCGTTCCAGCTCTTTTTCGGTAAAAAATCTGTAAATATCTGGAATATTTCGGTAAATACAGTTTGATTTCGGTAGAAATACCAAAAAGTCGGTATGTTCGGCAACACTGCTCAGTAGTTCAAAAAAACAATATTTAATCCTATATATTCTTACTAACTTTTGTTTATGTATAACTAGCAGAAACAAAAATAATAATTTTAATATAAAGATGTGGTTTAAAAGCCGTTGCAATATTTTTCATTTTACCACTAGGATAAACTCGATTAAAAGGACTAACTAACAACTTCCAGCTAACAAGTAAACAGCACAGAACAACATAGAATTCACTTTTTTAGTTTTATTCTTTTCGTTCCAGCTCTTTTTCGGTAAAAAATCTGTAAATATCTGGAATTTTTCGGTAAATACAGTTTCATTTCGGTAGAAATACCAAAAAGTCGGTATGTTCGGAAACACTGCTCAGTAGTTCAAACAAACAATATTTAATCCTATATGTTCTTACTAACTTTTGTTTATGTATAACTAGCAGAAACAAAAATAATAATTTTAATATAAAGATGCGGTTTAAAAGCCGTTGCAATATTTTTCATTTTACCACCAGGGTAAATTCGATTAAAAGGACTAACTAACAACTTCCAGCTAAAAAGTAAATAGCACAGAACAACATAGAATTCACTTTTTTAGTTTTACTTTTCGTTCTAGCTCTTTTTCGGTAAAAAAACTAAATATCTGGAATATTTCGGTAAATACAGTTTCATTTCGGTAGAAATACCAAAAAGTCGGTATGTTCGGCAACGCTGCTCAGTAGTTCAAACGTAGAAATCCCTAAAAAAATACATGGTTGCTTAGCTAAGCTCCGGTATCATGCAAAAAACCTATAAAACGTCAGAAAAAAAAACCACGTTTGCTCACTAGAATCGTTGTGAACGTCCATCTAAGGAGGAATCACTCAACTATACAGGGTGACTTTGAAGTTGAGTCATTAATTTTCAGATAATGATTGTAGAAGGAAGATAAACCAAAATATGTGTGTAAAAAATTAAAAAAAAAATTTTACCTTGTTTTATAAAGTATCATCCCGACAAGTATTTCAGTGCGGACCTGTATTTGATCGTGAGGTCTTGGAGCACCGGCATGCCGTCCCCTGTGAGGTCTTAACTCACCTGATTCACGAGCCCGTTGTACTACATTAACAAAGGCACGAGGGGTTGGTTGCACTCGATTGGGAAACCGATCCGCATAAACATGTGCCATTTTTTATTTCGTTTGAGCCACGCAACAGACACCACTATTCACTTACGCGTTACCGACTGACACTGACTGTATACAACTGAATAAAATAATTGTAAAAACATCGTTCCAAATTCTTTCGCTTTTTCGTTTCCGATGCGATGAACCGATAAGGCGGATTATATCCGTTGTTGCCAAACACGCGCACATAATATTATTATTGAGACAGGGCGGTACTCAAACTTCCAAAGGGCTATAGCTTTGTTACTTTAATTTTACCAGAAAAATGGTAAGGAAAAAAAACATTTCTTTTGATCAGATCTACTCACTGTTAAAATAAATGACTCAACTTCGAAGTATGTATGTTTTCTTTTTAAGCTTTTAACCATTTGTCTCCACTGCTCGATGTTTGTTGTGTTTATTTATTATGTATTTCTAACAGATTCTCCTACCGCTTTTCTTTGTATCAGCTTCAATGATTTTTACCGGCTAGACAAACATTTTTTGTGATAAAAAAAGTCGCTGTATATGTATATATTTTTACCGTTACAGATTGAACACATTACGATTCTTGAGCTGTACCTATAATGTGATTTAACCTTTTAAAATGTTTTGTAATTGTAATGTCCTTATTTATTTTATAATTATAAGTATTTTTCTGGCATATTTGCTCAAACACATATATGACCTTCAAATTGATATTGACAGGTCTTATATCATGTAACATGATCTAATAAGACAATAAACTATCTATCTCTATCTATCTATCTATCTATACTACACGCATTATTGGTTGCATATGTTTCGTGAGGCCAAATGGTCCTTGTCTGTAGTTTTAATCTCTGAGAAGAAAGTTGGTTGAATAGCAAGATCGCATCTGAATGGTTATGTGTATTGGTCTGCTTGTGTATAAAATCAGTGATATTTGCTGTGTGAGAAAATCATTACTGAATATGCTGCCAATGAAGTATATCTATTGGCTGTGCCCGACGGGTTATTTTTATGTTGTGTTTTCTGAATAGAGGTTATGTTTAAAGTTATAAATTACGAAACACTGAGGAGAATTGCGGGAGATCATCACCGCGCCCGCGTTGTGTGTAATTACTGTTAGCATATGGCTTGTAATTCGACAGTGTACAGTGAATATAATTATTTCTTATCTCTCTCATTGTTGAAATTCAGCAAGTTTGTATATGTAATTTCCAGAATGGATAGAAAAAAGTGAATGCGCAACTAGCTTTGAATCTCAATTAAATGTATTTGAGACAAGAAGCCAATGTAATTATCATCAACACATACAACTTAAAGCTTAGACCTCCAGTAATGCCATCTCAGAAGCAGATTTTACGTCATCAGATCCAAAGATTGATAACAAGCCTCATGATGTTTAGGCAACACGTACAACTAATATCTTGTAGAAAAACCTACATAATGTCAAAAAAACCAGCATAATATGAAAAAAAAATCGGCATAATGTCACTTGTCAAGTTACGTGTTACCCGTACCGTTCAACATGCGACTGTCTAATATAACTTCAATCTAAGATGTACCTTAAAGACAAGCTTCACTTTTCTTAAAGGTAGATTTAAAAAAGCCGGTGCACACGGCCATAAGAAACGAAACATTCCATCCACCTTCAAGTGTGATGTTTAATCCTTCAAATGCCACCTCTGTCGTCACAATGAATAAACGACAAAAGCAGTACCGTACTGGTAACCATAGCACCCTCGATAGTACAATTCCGTCCACCCCCAATCGCTGTGGTTCACCGACGCTGGTTTCGTCAAAGCTCTCTCTACTGTTGGCGCCGTTTCGCGTGGCACCGTCAGCAGCGGCGATGGTAGTACCGCGGTGGTAAGGATAATAATATGGTCCACAAGAGATTCTTCCGGCTCACACAGTTGTAGCGTTCTCAGCCGGCAAAACATTCCGCCGTTTGCTCCAGTTAAACACGACGCCGCGGCGGTACCGCGCGAATCGTACCCGACGCCGCGATCAAAATAGTACCGACGCCGGTTCAAGGTACTGCTACTGCAAAAAGCAGGAAGAAGGAAGGCATTTACCAGAAAGGCACTCTACCTAAAGGGTATTTATCGGAGAGACGTACTACCTCGTCAAAGGGTACTGTTTTACCGGAAAAGGTACGACCCTACTGAAGAAGACGCTACCGAATCGAAAAACGTATCACTAGAAAATCGGCTGCGTCAAAAATGGGTGCTATCAAATGTTGGGTCAAGCTGTAAACTAGTAGTACCAACAGAGTGACAAATGACAATTATGGATGCTTGCTTGATAGTGGCGATAAAATCGCACAAGGAGGGGTTGAAAGGGAAAAAGAAGAAGAAATGTGTGAAAAATGTGGAGGAAATTAAGGAGAAACAGAATTTCAAGAATCGATGGGGAAATTGTAAGTTTTGTTTGATACAAAAAACATCTTCCTACCATAATCAAGTCTTTGGTATTTCCAATGTCAACTTCTCAGTTATTCATTATTTTCAAATCTTTCAGTCTTCCTTGGGAGTAGTAAACGAAATATTAATTTTTTCGATCAGGGCAACCAAATAAGCTTCACTTGGAGGTATCAAAGCTTCTAAAAAATCTCAGACGTTGTTTTAACATTTTTTCAAATTTCCGATCACATTATGGATTATTCAAAATATCTGCGTTTCATGAACATAATCAGATTGAATTATCAATCTCTCAATTTTTTATTGTCTTCAAAGCTCTAGATTCCTTTTAGCAATTTCTTGGTGTATCAAAGCTTGTGAAAATGTCAGACGTTGTTTGAGTATTTTTTTTGTTTCTGATCGTTTTAGAATGCATGCTTCTGAGATGTTAAGGCTCACTTGTTCCACTGAAGTGCTAATAATCGCCCGTATTTCACCACGTATAATTAATAGTAATAAAAAAACAAAAGTATCTCACTGAATCTCGAAAAATAAAATTAGAGTACTCCTATAAATACCTAATAAAAATCCAATAAAAACATAATGGTTCCACATATGTAGCCCACACGTATAAATACTTCATTTCTATATTTATTCTGCGGTATTTCATCTGTTTTATCGTATTTTCCTTGAGGGTTAAGTAATATCGTTGAAATCGGTTATATTTCCACAATATTTTTAAAATCAACAACTCCAGCGCACGTTTATACGATCAGAGATATAGGCTAAACGGTCATAAAACGGCTGCTGTGAGAATACAGGATAAGCGTAGAAGGAGAATAAAATTGGTTTCCCAGATAGAACAGCGACGAGGTAAAGTTGTTACCACCTAGTTTATACAAGAATTTGAATGATACATTACAGTACCATAGCTCCACTGTCTTTGTTCAACAGTGATTGACAGGTGCATCAACAAAAAGATTTCGAAAATTGCGTAATGATCAGCGACATACATATGGTACATATAGCATTCTTATCTCGATACTGCCATAACTGCATTTTAATTATGGTCGTAAATGCAATACGATTATATTGGCAGTTATGTATTGTATGTATTGTTATGTAGTATTGAATTGGGAGTGCGATATTTTGACGCAATTTAACACTTCGTAGCGGTTTCAGCGAATGGCCAAGTTTTGCAAGGAAGACATCCTTTTCGGCGGAGTTCATATGACTATGGAAATGGTTTAGTATCTAGTTTCTCGTCAATCGCAGCCAATAGGTACAAGGGACAAGCCTACGATTTGATTGTCTCCAAAATCTCAGTCTGTAGTCAAGATAAAAGTGCACAAGTGGACTTGACATAATTAATTTTTTTGTTAAATTCGTATTTTTAGTATTATGTTTTAAAAATGCGAGTGTTTGCAGATAATTTAATAATGAAGGTTGATCTTTCTAGCGGTAAGCGTTATTTATTATTTTGCTGATATAATGGTAGGCAATGGTAGTCAAATGACTCAAGATAACGCACTAAAACTACGCAATTTTGGCGACAAACAATGCAATGAAAACATATAGGCGTGTCTCCTAATTTATTCGACGTTTATCGCAGCATATACTGGAAAGGGTACTTCGCTATGTATCCTCCTTGTAAGGAAATCTAGATTTGACCCGACGTGGAATACTGTTCATATGATTGCAGTGAAGCTTCCAGCAAAATCGGCTACAAGGCAGCTACAAAACAAATGTGCTGGAGTTTGAATGAAGGTGTCCCGCAATGCTTTTCCACGCTGAAGGCTAAAATCCCATTAGAAAATGGACGAGATAGCACCCAAACCAACACAACTAAACGTAAGGTACAAAATAAAAGGATGCTACTCCATAATCTGGTGTTTGGGGCGTTAATATCCCAGAATCTGGAAATTATTACCATCGAAATGACTCACTAACAACCAAAACCTCAACAGAAAGAAGAAAAGAAAAATGGCGCTGGACCCAGCCGTACAAGTTTTTAAAAGAAGGTATCTTGTTAGTAAATCAAATACTCCTATACGGCTAGTATGTGCAGGAATCACAAGGTGGCCTTGGTTGCCAATGGGCGGAACTAACTCTACGAGGGACCAACGATATTTTGTGAGGAAATTTTTGAGTCGTTAATAATACTATAACATTAGTGTCCAAAAGATCTCAACACAATACTCAATCGCTGAGAAAGAAAGATGTTATACGAGTGAAATTACACCACCAATGAACTATGAAATTTGCCAAATGAAAATCATTAAAAGGGGTTGGTCCTAAGAATCGGCAGTCTACCATTAATAAAGAGAAACTCAAATTACTGATAAGTGATGAGTACGCTGTGCCTACTGGATTAGAGCTTTATCAGATATGAACCAGTCGTACCAAAATACGAAACCGCAGAGGAAATTGAAGAATCTCCTCGAAGGAATCGGTTCCGATGACTGCGATTCCAATTCCTGCAACCGGGTTCCACCGTTACGATATCCGCGCTAAGAACGGGTTGTGATTAAACTGTTTGAGAGAAACGAATTCGCTCGGATTAGAATATCGCCATAACCGCATTACGGATGCTCGCAGTAACGCTTCTAATTCCAGATACTCCAAACGAGTAACGATCCATAAGGTAATAGGTGTAGTGCGAAGTTTAGGGTGTGGATCATTTATCGCAGAATGTAAGAAAAACCGCGAGAGAAAAAATAGTTTAAAGCAAAGTTAAAGAATAGGCGAAAAAATATTTGGTGATATAGAAAATAGCATTTCAACAAAAGTATCTCTTTAGCGTAAGATAAATTGTCAATCACACCTCTGGCATTGGGTGTTTCAAGTCTGAGTCCACTGAGCCTTAGCTTCGAGTACTGCTCACACGTTTGGCGTGCTGCCGCCCCGGCTACATTGTCCATACTCGATGCTGTTCAGACTGTTCGGTGACACTTCTCTAATGGACGGTCTCGGGACCTTTAGCACTGACAGATGCGTGAGTCTTTTCCTAGGGCACAAGTATTATACGTTATGTCCATTTTTTTCTACAAGTTGTTAACTTAGCACTAGCTGACAGACACGTTGTAAACTCGTTTTGTAATTGTACGTGTTGCCTAAACGTCATGGGGCTTCAGTTATCAAGTGGTTTGGCTCTGATGTGATGTAAAATCTGCTTCAGAGATGGCATTACTGGAGGTCTAAGCTGTACGCTAGAAGGAAACGACAATGCATAGGTGCATAGTGAGGATTTGTTTGCTAATAATATGTGTTGATGGTAATTCCATTGGATTCTTGTCTCAAACACACTTACTTGAGATTCAAATCTAGAAATTAGCTGCATTCCACTTTTTCTTATCCATTTTGGAAATTGCATAATGCAAATTTGCTAAATTTCAAAAACTGCACACAAAGCGGGCGCGGTGGTGATTTCCCGTAATTCTCCTCAAAGTTTTTGGAAACACAAAAAAACGTAAAAAATTGTTTTTTATAACTTTGAACATAATCTCTGGTCAGAAAGAACAACATATAAATAACCCGCACAGCTAATATATATCTTTCATTGGCAGCATATTCAGTAATGATTTTCTCATACAGCAAATATCACTGAATTTATACACATGCAGATCAATAATACACATAATGATCCAGATGCGATCTTGATGCTTCCTTCTCAGAGATGAGAACTATAGACTACTCGGCTTCACAAAACATATGCAACCAACAATGCGTGTAGTTGAGCCATACCTCCATAGATGGACGCTCACAACGATCCTAGTGAGCAAACGTGTAAGCTACCTAGTCTTCAAGATGACATTTTATAGGTTTTTTTGACGTTTTATAGCTTTCTTACATTAAACCCGTGCGAAGGTGTTAACATATTTTGGTCCTCTGAATCTTTCTGCACGAACAAAGTACCGTCACTGATATTGGACAAGGCTTGTAGCATATTCAGTTGCAAACCAGGCATAACTTTCCCAAACAGGTCGTGCATTTTCACGTTTTCACTAATTAGAAACTGAAAAGCATCTCGTCCGGTATTTCCAAAGTTTACAGTCTGCGAATAGTTTGATCACCAGCGGGAAATCGTTTCATGTTTGGACTTCAAAACGATGTTTTTTGCTGCTAAAAAATAAACCGTATTCCTGAGGGTTCCTGCTCCACTTACTGACTTGTGGGATCCCGCTGATCGGGCAAGTTTAAAATTGATGCCTGAAATTTTCGCGCTAATTCCACAACGAAATTTTATTTAACACCTCTCGGCATTCTTTTTTTATTTGATATCATTTACATACATCAAAATGATAAAAATGTCAGCTAAATTTCTTCATAATCTATGATGATTCTTACTTTGTTGCAGAGCTGATATAGCTAGGTCGCAAGTGCGTCATTTCTCACTTATTTGATTATTTCCAAATTGAAGGAAACAACAAATAACTGTTACAGGTTACTTGAGCATTGAAACCGAATTTTAGTCTCTCACTCATACTGTTTCGCTAATCACTGATAACGCTTAGAATGTCCGTGCAGTTATTTAGTCAATTTAATTGTCTACGTTTTTACTTCCCACGCCTATTATACCACTTATTTCCGTCGGTACATTTGTCTGTCCGCTAATCTCTATCTGCCTATACATAGAGAAGTGCTACTCGGATTTTGACGATATTTTTAGTACTATTATAACAAGGACGAAAAAGCCTTGTAGTTTTTGAAAATTGGTGCAGAAAAAGTAAAAAATGCTCAAACTTCGCTTTTTGACGTTCCAGAGGATGCTGCCCATTTTTGAATGGTGCTGGTTCATTTACACGCTCCCAACACTGGTAATACTACGCACCTGTTAGATATACATATTTCGGGCATCATAGATTTCTTGCCACAAAATCGGATCGCGGCTGTTGCTGGCGTTGTACGCCGACCCCGATGATTGTTCTGGTACGGAATCATACGTATTTCTGTCGCGCAACAGCATAGTGTTTTCTGTGCTCTGACCCCGCTACCACCTCGGTCCGAGTTAGGTATCGGG